GGGGGTTGGGGGTGGGGTGGGGGGGTGGGGGGAGAAGAGGGGTGGGAGTGGGGAGAGCTTGCACTTTAAGTTTAAGCTGCTTTTACATTCAGCCTGACTCGTCACAAAGAGCAAACGGTGTTAAGTCTTTTCTAAATGACTGCTCTCACATAACCACAATGGCCTCTTTCAGCCTGTAGCAAGATGGCTCAGCTGAGGTCAAGGCCGCAGTGTTAATCTGTGTTGGAGCCAGGGCTGAGCGCCAGGTGTGTCTGACTGAGCCCAGGCACTCCCGCCCTGCGCCCAGCCTCAGGACTCTGGCGTGAGACTCCGTGCTGGGCCTGGAGCACAGGAGGCACGCAGGTGCCCGGGCAGACTGTTCCAGCTCCTGGACCCGCCTTGGAGCTCTGTGGCCTCTTGTTGAAGTCTGACCATGACCGAGTCTACAAGGGGCCTCTGAACGCCTGCTTGGCCTGGCACGAGCAACTTCGGACCGACGTGCGCTCGGCCTTTCTATGCCTACTACGGTGCTGTCCTTCTGGTGGCAACTTGGAGGCCAGTGACTGGAAGAGACCACTAAGAGGCTGGGAGCAGGCCAGGTGCAGTTTCCAGATGCAGGCTGCACCCCTCAAGCCAGCGGCATATTTATAAACGTGTGTTTATATGTAAACACACTCTGTTAATATATGTAAATTAACACGCTGATTTAACATATATTAATACATATCGGGGTGCCAAAAAATGTATTTTAAGAGATGTCGTCTAGGTATTACTTTTTTTTTTGAGTTGGAGTCTCACAATGTCGCCCAGACTGGAGTGCAGTGGCTGCTCCCAGCCTCCGCAGCCTCGGCCTGCTGGGCTCCGGCAATCCTTCCTCCTCAGCCTTCCGAGTAGCTGGAACTACAGGCACTCGCCACTATGCCTGGTTGATTTATTTATTTATCATTGTAGAGATGAGGTCTCACCAAGTTGCCCAGGCTGGTCTCGAACCCATGGGCTCAGGCAATTCTCTCACCTCAGCTTCCCCAAATGCTGGGATTACAGATGTGAGCCACCACTCCTGGCCTGTGCCTTTTTTTTAAGGGTGAGTTGTATAATTATTTCATTGCAATGTAAAAATAACAGAAATCCAGTGCACAATAAATGTGATGCACTTGAATTATCCTGAAATCATCCTCCCCCAACCCTGGTCCTTGGGGAAACTGCCGACCACAAAACCAGTTCCAGATGCCAAAAAGGTTGAGGACCACTGTCATAAAGGTTAGAACAGGACACAAGATGGTCACTCAGTAATTATGAGTATTCCCTGTATCGTTTTTGTAACTCAAACGCTGGAGTAGTATATGCACCTCTTATCCAACTGTCACCCAAGTGAGGAAATCAGGAACCAATTATTTCCAGCCGTGTGCTTTTTGTGTGATCAATTAACCAGACACTCTTTGGCAGTTGTTCTGGGATGGCTGCACACGCCCCCATTGCACTCTAAGGCATACTGCTGAGATGCGTTCCCATCTATCCAGCCCTGCCTCTCAATCCGTCTCAAGCTGTTGGTTTTGTTTTGATGTCTTTTTTTTCTTTGTAAGATAGATTCTAAATGGGAAGTGCTTGCTTAAACCTAAAAAGAACTTTAAACAGCAGAATCCCTTGACTGGAAAACAAAAAGTCAATCTCGATTCCATCAGTTGGAAGCTAGGAAGATTTGATCAAGCGATGGCTCGTGGTCAGAACGAGGGGATGTCGGCCGGAGTCACCCTGGGTGTAGGTGGTGAGGGAAAGTCACTTTGAGCCAGTCAACTTTGAGCCCCGTTTCAAGACGGCCTTCTTGTGGTCCGCCATTGTTGAAAAGAGCAACTGGGCTCGCCACTGGGCCTCTGAGATTGGGATCTGTAGATGGGTTTTCAACTCAGAACAGACTTGGAGGGTGGGACCCCTGACTTCAAACACCAGGAGGGCTCTCATGCAGCAAAGGGTGCAGCCCAAGGAGACAGAGCAGGAAAACGAGCTTCCCCTGCCAAACCAGGCACCAGCAGGACCCAGGGCGGACAGGGACACAAGCATCCCCACCAGAGACATTGAAGGCAGATTAGAAAAATACTGGCTGGCCTGTTCACGAGGGAACACCAGGACAGAGTATACAGAAAGCTTCAAGGTCAATGGTGTCTGTAAAGGCTGTGCTTATTTGCCATGGTTACCCCAGTGCCTGTGCCAGAGTCGATCTTGAAATACACTTGGTGAATGAATGAACCCTAGAACCATTAGCCAAGAATCTTGAAGGCACGATGAGATCTGGCCCCAGAGCCAACATTTGCCTGCTGTGTGATCTGGGCTCGCTTCTTTCTTTTTTTTTTTTTGAATTGGAGTCTCACTCGGTCGCCCAGACTGGAGTGCAGTGGCCGCTCCCGGCCACCGCAGCCTCGACCTGCTGGGCTCCGGTGATGCTTCCGCCTCAGCCTTCCGAGGAGCCAGAACTACAGGTGCGCGCCGCCACGCCTGGCTAATTTTTGATTTATTGTAGAGATGAGGTCTCGTCAAACTGCCCAGGCAGGTCTCAAATGCACAGGCTTGGACAATCCACTCATCTGGGCCTCCCAAAGCGCTGGGATTACAGGCTGAGCCACCGATCCCAGCCTGGGCTCCCTTCTTAACTTCTCTGAGACTCAAGCTTCTCATTTAAAAATGGGAAAACAATCAAGATTGCCTCTTAGAAGAGGGCTCCTGGGAGGTTCTCAGGCTGCATGCAAATGTTTTCCGGGGGTAAAAGACAAGTCACAAAATAAACTCAGCATTCTCGAAATTAAGACCATGCAGGCATGATGATATCATATCTTATGCACGGATCTGTGTATCTGAAAGTAAGCGTATCCACAGGAACTGAGA